CCAGTGGCTGACGCGCCCGGCCTGGTGTACCAGTCGCTGCCCATTTGGGCCCAGCGCCGTCGGCCGGTCCCTGCCTGCAACAGGTGGGAGCTGCCGGCTCTTCTCTGGGCCCTTCCTCTTCCTCGTGAGCCTCCCGTGGCCCACCTGCTCCCGGCGGCCTCTGCTCGAGCCTCTCCTGGAGCCGCTTGCGGGCGGTGGCTCCTAGTTCCTGACCTCCGAGCTGTTTCCCATCCCGTTTGGCTTCTGTGGGACAGAGTCTCCCGTGGAGCCTCCTGGGAACCGGCCCTGTGGCCACGCTTGACCTTAGCCCGGCGAGACTGATTCTGGACTCCGACCTCAGACCTGGGAGAGGGCGAAAGTGCGTTGACCTACGCACCACCTTTGCGGTGACTTGTCCTAGCACAGCCTGATGGATTTCCTTGTGTCAGCCCCTTACTCCTGCCGACATAAACGGACCCTGTGAATGGAAAAGCAGAGAAACCCGGAGAGGCACCTGAATCAAAGGGTCGAAATCAGCAGTGTAGCGATGCGACAGGTCGCACACGTGCCCCTGACACAACGCGTCACAGGCTCCCTGCTCACTGCGCAACCGCAAAGTGACCACGAGAAGATACCGGGAAACCCAAATGGAAGGCTCGCCCGTGGCACTCTTCAAACGTATTCAGGTGGTGAAAACACAGTGAGGAGTCGTTCCAGACCAAAAGATCAGACAGACACACGAATGCAAACGTCAACGTGAGCTGGCTCCGGGACCAGGGAAAATAGCGGTAAAGGGCGTCATTGAGCCAATCGATGAAATTTCAGTATGAATTCTGATTAGGTAATAGTATTTAGTCACGCTGCTTTTTTCTGGTTTTGATAATCCTGCCGTGGTTCTGTACGAGAACATTCTTGGTCAGTGAAACACACCCTGGAGTGTTTGGGGTAGAGGGCGCAATGCCTGCAACCTGGCTTCAGGTGTTCGAGAGCAAACGCAGAGACAGAGGGCAAAGCCACGCAGCGAAACGTCAGCTGGTGACTCTGGGTGAAGGTACGTGGCAGTTCTTAGCGTACTCTCACAACTTTCCTGGAAAATCTGCAATTATTTCAAAACAGCAACAACACAACCAAGCCAGAAAGGTGTGCAAGCAAACACCAATGATGTTTTAACAGGTTATTTACATTCCAGCCTTTATGGCCTTACCTCAGGCTTGGGCCTGTTCTCTTTGTTTAAAATAATTAACAATACTGTGGAAAGTTAAACTGTTACTAGCACCAAGCTGAGACTTTCTCCTTGAGGTAGCCAGAGGACTGGAATTAAAGGAAAAGGGATCAAGTGTGGTGGCTCACACCTGGGATCCTCTGGGAGGCCAAGGTGGGAGGATCGCTTGAGGTCAGGGGTTCAAGACCAGCCTATAGAAAAATTAGCTGAGTGTGGTGGTTCCTGTAGTCCCAGCTACTCGGGAGGCTGAGGCAGGAGGATTGCTTGAGCCCAGGAGTTAGACGCTGCAGTGAGCTGTGATGATGCCACTGCACTCCAGCCTGGGCAACAGAGTGAGACTGTCTCAAAAAAAAAAAAAAAAAAAGGAAAAAGGAAAAGGGAAGTAATTTCTCATCACATTATTTGCTATTATTAATCCTGGGCCTTGTATTCCACTTAAAATCACGTTGAAAACACCAGTCTGTGTCACTTCTTTGGGAAACATTCTGTAGAAGGTGGGAGCCACAGAAGGTTATTGAGTAAGGGAAGGGCATAGTTGTGCCTGGACTCCAGGGAAATTAGTTTAGACCCAGGAAGGCCCTGCTTTATCATGATCTCTGTTCAATGCATTTCCTGTCCAAACTGATTTCTTAGCATCCTCCAAAGTCTCTTTCTGTGCCACTAATTTCTGCAAATGCAGCCCTGGCTGGAGTGGGGCGGCATCTTGTGGTCACTGTTTGGTATTGCAGTTTTCTCCACATACTCATTCAAGATATTTCCCGAAATTCTCTTCTGGGCGCTGAGTACAGGCATGAACAAGATAAGCAGAGTCTTTACACTGTTGCAGCTCATGTTCTTTGTTTTTTTTTTTTTTTTCATTGAGACAGGGTCTCGCTCTGTCACCCAGGCTGGAGTGCAGTGGTGTCATCATAGCTCACTGCAGCCTCTGACTCCTGGGCTCAAGCGATCCTCCTGCCTCAGCCTCTCAGAGTGCCTCTGTATTGCATTTTTAACAGATTTGTTGTTTTTTCATACCTTTAGAATGTGGGCTCCAGGCTGAGCATGGCAGCTCACGCCTGTAGTCCCCGCTACTCGGGAGGCTGACCTTTTTCTTACTGACCTACAGGAGTTACTTACGCTATGGGTTGGCACTTATCACTTATGTACGTGGCAAATATCGTCTTCCAATTAATTTGTGGCTTATTTTCCCATTTTCCCATGATCATCACAAGTGCAAATTTAATATGGTTGAACCTATTGCTCCTTTATGATTAGCACTTTATATGTCTTGCTAAAGAAAACTCCTTCCTTACCTCAAGGGCAAAAAGATGGTTACAAAAGGAAAAAAAAAAAGAGGGTCTCACTGACTTTTTCTGTACGTTTTAAAGTTCTGTTTTGGCATTCAAATCCCCAATCCACGTCGGGATGGTTTATGTGCGTGGTGTGAGGTGAACGTGGCAGGAGAATAACGACCCCCAAAGGTGTCCATGTCCTAAGCCCTGGAATCCCGTGTGAAAACTGGCCACATGAATTGGGGTTACCTTGTCACGCCCAGCTCAGTCACTCTGGTACAGGCACCTGCCTGGGGACTGCGTCGAGCCGGCTGCCAACGGCCTGCTCTGAGGCCGGCTTCCCCGGCGGCTGCCCAGACAACCGGCTGCAGCTCGGAGACCCCTTCGGCCACCGCTGTCACCACTCAGAGCTTCCCAGCACCCAAAAGCTTCCCTAGTGCCCGTAAGTTTTCTTTCAAAACAATACGTAACATTTCTCTTTTTAATAAAACCCCCAACCTTCTCTTTGTTCTTCAAACATTCCAAAGACCACATGGTCTGTGTGTATGCGCCAAATTACAATTCTGTTTTTACATATTTTTCCAAATAAAACGTTTTACATAAAAATGCATTTTTGTTTGACTTTGATGCTGGGAACATGTTATTTCCCAGGGCAAAGAGGGCTTTGGTGGTGGGATTCAGGTGACGGCCTGATCGGGCTCAGAGCAGCCTGGGTCATCCAGAGGGGTCTAATTTAAAGGATGAGGCTCTTTCCCGGTTCTGGTCCGAGACGCGAGAAGAAGTAGCAGAGATTCACAGTGTGAGAAGAGCTCGACTGGCCGCTGCTGGCTGTGGAGACGGAGCACGAGGCTTCCGGGAGCTGGGACGGCCCTCAGCTCACAGCCTGCAAGGACGCGGTCGCCGGCAGCCTGGGCGAGCAGCAGCAGGCCCTCCCCGGAGCCCCAGGAGGAGCCAGCTCTGCCCACACCTTGGTTCGAGCCCAGTGAGACCCGCTTTGGGCTTCCGACTCCAGCACTGTCAGGTAAGAAATTAGCGTTGTGTAAGCCTCTCAATTTGTGGTAATGTGTTATGGCAGCAACAGAAAACAGACATGGTAGGAACCTGATTGTGTTTCCTGCTCTACGGATACCCGGGCCCCAGCACCAGGTGACGAGGACGTCCCTCTTCCCACCATCAGCTGTCAGAGCCCCACACACCCCACAGCCCATTTCTGGTTCTCCTTTACTTTCTACTCGGAACAACTCACACAGCACTCAGAAACCACCACCCTGGCTTTGGCCCCTTCTCCGCACGTCTGAGCAGAAAGGGGCCCTCCATCTCTCCCTGCAAGGGCCATCAGAGCTCTGCCCTTGGGCGCTCTGTCCTCGGTCTCCTCTGACTTCTGCTGTGAGGACGCCCAGCCGTCACTCCATTCAGGGCAAAGGCGCAGGGTGGAGCCCTCCACTGAGAGGCCCGGGCGGTTTCTCCAAGGCACTGGAACTCAGTGTCCGTTCTCTGCAATGGACTGTCACGAGGACCAAACGAGCTCGCAGACTGAATGAGCTCGGAGCGGTGCCTGTCACTTGCTGTGTGCTGGCGCACAGGGCACGCTAGATATCATGGCACTGAACTTCACCGCGTTTGAGGTAGGTTTAATGAGCACAGTGCTTTTGTTTAGAACAAGCGTTTCTTATAGAAGCGTTGCAGTGGCGACAGTTCTTTCCGATTGCAACAACTGTAATCGGTCTCCTGTGAAAGGCGCCTGCAGACCTTGGTCAGATCTCACTTGAGGGAAAAAGAAATCATCAAGTGCAAGGGGTCAGGAGACTTCAGGCCCCAAAGGGGCATTTCCGAGGGTCTCCCGGATTGCACCAGATACTCTCACAGGACTTTCTGTCTGGAACCCTCCAGGAGATCCCCTTTCCTGACGGAGGTGGTGGCGAGGCCAAATTGGGAGCAAGGAACTAAAAACCCAGCTACAGCTACTTAGCACTAAGGAAGTTAATTGTTTCAAGTTACAGGAAGCCCAGGCACAGAGCAGACTCCAGGCTGCTGTGTCCGGAGGCTCAACTATGCCATCAGAGACCCAGCGTTCAGCCTGCCTGTCCGCATACTGGCAGGCCTCATGCTCACAAGACAGCTGCTGAGCTCCAGACATTATGACAGGCCCAACCACAACCAGGAGGAAGAGGCGTGGTCTCTTCCTTATGCCTCGGCATAAGAGAGGGGAAGCCACCCCTAGGTGCCCCTGTAGTTTCCCCTCAGGTCTCATTCCCAAAGCGATCCTGGGAGGGGGCGGGACCCTGGTGAGCTGTGACCACCAGAATTGACCGCTGATCCCAGCACAAATGAGGCCTTTTACTAAGAAGAAATGGAGGCTGGAGGCTGGTGTGCTGGAGGTGGGGTGGCAGGCATCTGTGGACCATCTGGGATTAGAATGTGGGTGGCAGAACACGTGGACTGGACCTTCTCCTGTTGCCGCGGTGACCACAGATCCACTTGGATGTTGAGGGAGTGAGGCTGCAGGGTCTGGGGAGGGCACCCAGCACATGGGGGACACCCGGCGAGGTTCGCTCAACAGCCACCTCATCCCTGAGTCCAGGCGTGGGTCAGAGAGGCGGCAGGACGATGACCCCCTTGGCCTACAGAGTGCTGCGTATGAGAGCCAGCGGGTCAAGGACCTAGACAATGTGGGTCTGGGAGCTGATGACCAGGAGGAGGAGATTCCCCCTGAGGAGGTGGCTGGGGAAGAGTTCGAGACCCAGAAACCGGAGGAGGCACTTTTTGAGCTGGAGAGAGTTCTGGACAAAGGCTTAGAGGACGATGTTCCTGAAATGAGGTGGGCAGAGGGGGCTGCCCAGGAGGGGTGGGTGGGGCTCAGACCATGGCAGAGGGGGCTGGGGTTGCCCAGGAGGGGTGGGTGGGGCTCAGACCTGGCAGAGAGGAGGCAGCAGCAGTTCCCACTCCCGCCCCCTTCACCTGTGCAGGTCCCCAGGTCAGGGAAAGGGTTGTTGACTGCTCTGCTGCCCCTGAAGATCCTTGCAGAGTCAGTCTAGAGTGATCAGGGGCCGGTAACTCTCACTGGCCTTTGAGGCAACAGGCAGCAAACACAGCCCTACCTAGGTGGCAGGAGGTAGAGTAAAAAGTGCCAATTTTGGAGTCGGACAGAGTGCAGATGCCAGAGTGACAGCCCTCAAGTCAGAGAGAAAAGGAAATGGAGAAAAGTTTCTCAACTCAAAAGCTGAAACCACCCCGGGCTCCACAAATTGCCGAGAATGGTCAGGAGAAACGCTGCCGTTGGGGGTGCAGTTTTAGCTCGCACTGGGACTGTGCCTGGCTGTTCTCTCCAGCTGCAGTGCAGGGCGGGGCTGAGGCAGGCGGGCCTGGGGCTCCCTCCCCGCCCCTCTCACAGACGAGTGCCATCCATGAACAGGCAACGTCCCTGCTCACGGGGCTCTGCTAACCCCAGCCCTAACCCCAACCTGTGGAGAAAACAGCCAGGAGCGTGCGGGGCCTTCAGCGGGGGACATTTGAGCCAAGAGCTGAGCTAAGTGAGGAGACAGGCAGATGTCTTGGCTTTTAACGTCCTGTTCTTGTCATCATCAGCTGCCCCTTTTTCTCTCATGGTCTATTTGCTTCCTGGGAGGCAGGAGCTGCTCTTTGTGGCCTGGGCCTGGCATGCCGGGGATAGTTGGTAAATGCCTGTGAGGATGTCAGATGCCTGGCCGGGGCCTCACCTCCAGCAAGCAGCGGAGCTGGGGCATCAGTACTGGCCTTCGTGATGTGGAAATCCTCCCCCAGAGAGAGCTCGAGGGAGAGGAGATTCGCATGGGCATGGGCAGGGCGAGGGCCCCCAGACACGCTGGGGCGGAAAAGCAGCTCCAACCCCACACCCCATTCTCCCAAAGCCGGCTGTCCATCACTCAGAGGCTCCCCAGAACCTCAGTGGCCAAAGGGAGGAAGAGGAGGCGGCTCTCTGAGCTGGCAAAACCCAAGGCCAACTGGCAAGTCTTGAAGGACAGGTGAGGCCGGGCCAGGGCCTTGCTATGGGCAGGGGCGCCAGAAGACAAGGGCGCCTGTGGTCCCCTCCGTGTTCTTCCTGGGCTCCCCCACCCCGCACCCCCCACCACATCCATTAACTCCAGGCAGGCGGGGCTTGGCCGGCTAAGGAGGCTGCCCAGGGAGGTGAGAAGTCAGGACACCAGAGGTGGGGACTTGCTGGGAACCGTGGCTGTCGGTGGCCCTCTGGGGGTGGCCAAAGGAGAGTGAGGCGCTTGGGAGCAAAGGCAGTGGGGGCTGGGACCCTGTCTCATCGCAGGAAGGGATGCCGTTGTAAGGGCTATGCCTGGATTTCCCCATGCAAGATGAGCTTGCAGTTCTGTCTCTATTGGTAAGTCTGGGGGTCTTCTCCATCCGCCACGTTCCAAGGGGACCCTTCACTGGAGCCACCCTCTTCCTCCAGGGTGAGGACGGGGGAAGGTGCTCCCTCACCCAAGGGCCGTTCCTGATGCTGCCCTTGCGCTCTGGGCTCAGCCACAGCACCTGCTCCTGGGAGACGACCCTGGGCCCTCTTCTTAGTTACATTTTTTCCCCAGCTGCCCCTTCTCTGAACATCAGCCTTTCTCCAAACAGTCTCCACATCCCAGAGACCCCCAGTCAGGCCTCCCTCACTGTCCTTCCCACCCACCGCCCTCCCGCCTCCAGCTCCCTGTGGCACTTGCTCTGGGGGAGCCGGGCGGGGCCCAGGGCCCAGGCCTCTGCCTGTCTCGCCCTGAGCTGCTGCTTGTTCCAGGCCCTCCGTGTACTGGACTGAGCGGTTCCTCGAGGACACCACACTGGCCATCACCGTGCCCGGTAGGTGCAGCCCGAGCCACCCCAGGGCCTGGCTGCTCTCCAGGGGCATCGCCCGCGGCCTCCAGGGGCAGGGAACTGCACCCTCCTGGAGCTCAGGCACCAGGAGGGTTGCCGGCCTCCACCTCAACCTCCGCTCCCCACCTCCTCCCCCAACACACACTCTGGGGCCTCCGCCCTGGTCAGGGTGAGGATGCAGGGTGAACTCTCCAGGAAAAGTCCGAATGGGGCCGGTGTTTACTCTGCAAGAAGACCCTTCCCTTCCTCACGGTTTCTACGCTTTTGTGAGAGCCTGGGTACCTTCCCACAGACATTTCAAGAAAGCTCATTATGGGAGGGAGGGCGCAAGGCAGTTCTCTCCTGGGGGTTAGACCCTCCCCACTGTGCTCACGGAGCCCCAGAAAACGTAGGTCTATACTAACTGCAGACCTAAACCCACGTTCCCAGTCTGCGGATCCACACTGAGCCAGGGAGGAGCAGGGGGGCCCCATTCCCCTTAAGCCCTGCCACTCCCTTCAGGCCTCTGAGCTCGCTGTCCCCAAAATGGGACAGCAAAAGTCGCCTCTCTACAAAGTGTCTGAGGAACTGTGGGCAGGGACACCAGTGGGGCCTCCTGCCCCGGCCTTGGAGAGCCAAAGCCCACGGGCGGCAAACCCCCGGGGTGGGCCTGAGCTGGGGCTCACCACCTGCTTCCCATTTTGCACAGCGGTATCCCGCCGCGTGGACGAACTGGCTCGGCCCAGGAGATTCTACTTGGAGTATTACAACAACAACAGGTGGGGAAGGAGGGCTGGGCGGCTCTCTGTAGGTGGAGCTTGGCAGGAACCCATTCCCTTCCCTTGACAGGGTGTGGCGTGGGCAGGCTCCAGGTCGCAGGATCCCAGGGTCAGGTAGCCTGAGTTCAGACTGGGGCTGCCCCCTTCCTCACCTGGGCTGCTCAACCCCTAACCTGGTCTCCACCTGTTCAGTGGGCGGTGGTGCAGATCATGCGTGCAAGGCTCTTAGCGCCCTGCCTGACACGGTAAGTGCTCAGGTGTTATCACCGTTAGGACTGTCTGTTGACTCTGAAAAGCTAGAAATTATAAGACATTGTTATTTTACGTACACAATTTTTTCTTAGCACTTAGAACCTCCATGCTTGTTAAAAGTGATCTTTAGGCCAGGCGCGGTGGCTCACGCCTGTAATCCTAGCTCTCTGGGAGGCCGAGGCGGGCGGATTGTTTGAGCTCAGGAGTTCGAAACCAGCCTGAGCAAGAGCGAGACCCCGTATCTACTAAAAATAGAAAGAAATTAATTGGACAACTAAAAATATATATAGAAAAAATTAGCTGGGCATGGTGGCGCATGCCTGTAGTCCCAGCTACTTGGGAGGCTGAGGCAGGAGGATCTCTTGAGCTCAGGAGTTCGAGACCAGCCTGAGCAAGAGCGAGACCCCGTATCTACTAAAAATAGAAAGAAATTAATTGGACAACTAAAAATATATATATAGAAAAAATTAGCTGGGCATGGTGGCGCATGCCTGTAGTCCCAGCTACTTGGGAGGCTGAGGCAGGAGGATCGCTTGAGCCCAGAAGTTAGAGGTTGCTGTGAGCTAGGATGACGCCACAGCACTTGAGCCCGGGCAACAGAGCGAGACTCTGTCTCAAAAAAAAAAAGTTGTCTTTAGAGTTATTTAGACACAAATTTTAATTATCCATCTTTATGCACACATATAAAGGAGGATAGAACTGAAATAGGCGAAGCGTGTCCAACTGTCTCGAATCACTTTCAACTCGGGGATGTCGATGTGGGTGTTCTTCCACATGCCGGTTTCACGCCTGTATTTGTGCACAATAACTTTTTATTTTAATTCTGAATCATATTGTAATCTGAACACAATTTATTTAAACTGCAATTAAACTTAACTCCTGTGGAGCCAACAAGGCACGTGACGCGACCGAAATGCTTTCAGTGTGAACGGCTGCTCTGAGCACACGCAGGCGCCATCGCCGCGGAGCGTCTGCCGTCTGGCTGGCGGCGTTTCTAAGCTGTCCCAGCCTCGGACATGTGGAAGCGTGAAAAGAGTCTGCCTTAGAATCCACAAACACGGTTTTACTTCTGGGCAGAGGCGTAGCTGAGACCCGACTTTGGGAGGCGCGGCCCAGCGAGCTCAGCTGGTTTCACCTTCCCCTTCTGCGAGGCAGCCGCAGGACACACTCTTATCCTGGGGTCCACGTCCGCACCTGGGCTCCGGATAATGGGGTGTGGGGGTGGCCTCAGAGCCCTATCGCCACGGGGGTTGGGGAGGGCTAAACCCCTCCACTGAGCTGGGACAACCTGGGCAGAGGGCGGCTCTGTCTCCGAGAACTCAGGGGAGCTTCTCTTGGGAGATCCTTGCGAACCCCCTTGGAGATGTTTTCAAAACGCCCTGCTTTCCTGGGTCCTCCCTTTTCCCCAGAAACAGAAGCTGAGAGAGATCACACACCTGCGCGCGCGCACACGCACATGCACACACGCGCACACACGTGTACACACGTGCACGCGCACTCTCCCCTTGGCTGGGCTGGAGTCTGAAAAATGGACGCCCTTTAGGACCACTCCCACCTGGCCCATTCCTCGGCCCACCTTGGAATACCAAGCATCCAGTCGCCTGAAGGAACTGGCCACCCCGAAGATGCGGAACAACATTTGGAGCATCAACATGTCTGAGGTGGGCTCCTGTGCTCCCTGGGACCCGCACCCACCCTCCGTGGCTGGGAAAGGTGTGGGCGGTGAATGAGGCCTCTAGGAGTTGGGGGACCCTGGGGGACCAGAGCAAGACAAGCATGATCGCAGTGCTGCATGAGGAGGGCCCGCCGGCCCTCGTTCAGGAAAAGCTGCATTTTCACCTCGCACCGTCTGCAGACCAGTCAGGGGTCGTCCTTCCCTGGCCATGTCGGTCAAGAGTGGATCCCAACGCTTCCTGCCCACACTCAGGCATTAGAGCAATCTTGTTTCAGGTATTTTGTTAAAAGTTCAGTCTATTCTGACTCAAAACTCTGATCTCTCACCCAGTCGAAAGCTTTTTCTTCTCGCCGCTCCCCCAGCCCCCGGCAACCACAGATGCATTCTCCACCCTGTCCAGAGGGTCATGTGAGCGAGACCACACAGCCTGAGGCTTGAGCCCAGCTTCTTTCCGTTGGCACGGTGCCTGTGAGACCCTCCTGTGTCCATAGTTCGTGCCTTTTCCTTGCTGGGTCCTGTCCCATTGGACACCGCGCTGCAGCATGTTCGCCCGCCCTGGAAGGACGTGTGGGTGGTTTCCAGTTTGGGGCTACTGCAAATATAGCTGCCTTGAATATTCGCGCACAGGGTCTTTTGGTGGTGAGTTTTCATATCTCAAGGGTCGATAGCCAGAAGTGGGACTTCCTAGTCGTTAGGGATGTCTGACTTTTTAAGAAACTGACCAACAGGTGCTGTCCCACTTCTCATGCGCAGCAGCGGTGTGTGAGGGCTTAGCCGACCACGTGCTCACCAGCACTTGGTGTCGTCCCTTTGTCTGTCTGTTCGTTTACATGCATTTAAGTTTCGGCCATTCTCATGGGTGTGTAGTGCTTTCTCACTGTGGTTTTAATTTGCATGCCCCTAATAATATGTTGATGCATCTTTTCATGTGGTTATTTGCTGGAGTCCACCTTTTAAACATTTTAAAGTAAATTCAGATGTCATACCATTTCTCTTATAAACATTTCAGTATGTATTTCTAACAGACAAGGATATTAAAAAAAAACCACAATCACAATAACAATCAATGCTCTAAAAAATTAACAATAATTGCTTAATATCAAAATACTCAGCGAGGTGCCGTGGCACACGTCTGTGATCCCAGCACTTTGGGAGGCTGAGGTGGGAGGATCGCTTGAGCCCAGGAGTTGGAGACTGCAGTGAGCTATGATCACGACACTGCACTCCAGCCTGGGTGACAGAGCAAGACCCTGTTTCTTAAAAAAAAAAGAAAAGAAAAGAAAGAAAAAATAGTTTTCCTGCTGGATTGCATCGTATCTTGTGAATGTACCACAGTTAGCTCACGCAGTTCCCAGCTGAGGGCAGCTGGCTGGTTTCCGGGATGTGCGTGGTAACTAAGCGGCAGTTCACGTCACTGTGCTCATTTCCTTCGATCAGGGGTAGGAGTCTTTTGTGCGTGGCGGTCATCGAGCGTACACACGTTTAACTTTAATTGAGGTGGACAAGTTGCTCTCCAAAGTGCTTGTATTAACTCACTGTCCTACCAGCCATGCATTAGAGTTTCTCTCCTCCCACATTCTCACTAGGGCTTGATGTCAGACTTTTTCATTTTTGCCAAATTTGTGGGCATGGAGTGGCCTTTTATTGTTTTTATTTACGTTTCCCTAGTCAACAGAAAAGATTATTGGTCATTTAGGGTTATTCTCTTATGTCATTTGCCTAGCTCATTTTTGGTTTCTTGAATTACTGATTTGGAGGAGCTCTTTATATATGATAGCTACTAATCCTTTGATGAACACATTACAAACTAGCTTCTTCCTATTAAGTCTCTGGTTTCAGTGCTGTTCGTGGGGTCTTTTCGCTTTAGGATCCATGAGGCGTCATGGGCTGTTATACTCCCTCTCTCTACTTTTGTTTCCAGGTGTCCCAGGTGTCCAGGGCAGCCCAGATGGCAGTCCCCAGTCAACGGATCCTCCGGTTGTCAAAGCCCAGGGCCCCAGCCACCCTGCTGGAAGAGTGGGACCCCATGCCAAAGCCCAGGCCACACGTGTCAGACTACAACCGCCTCCTTCACTTGGCCAGTAAGGAGGTCCCTGGGGCTCAGCTCCTTAGGATACCCTTGTCCAGGTCCCTGCGGACGGTTTAAGCCCTGCCTGGAAGTGGGAAGAAGTAATGTCTCCCCAGGGAAGAGAAGCAGAAGTTAGAGGAGGTGTGGTCCAGAAGCACAGGGTATCGTCTGAGGGGGTTCCTAGCAGGGAGGGTTGGGTGCAGGGGCCAGAGAGCGGAGCCAAGGCTCAAGGCAGCTTTATCAAGGCTGTTGGCCTCGTGCCCCTCCTGTCCTTCAGAACAAATTAAATGCCCATTCCCCCCAATGACAAAAGGAATATGTACTAATTGTAGAGAATTTGGAAAATACAGAAAAGCATAATGAAGAAAGTAAAAATAACCTCTAATGCCACCACCAAAGGTAACACACTTTGCTGTGTCCCCCAGGGGTCCACACGGGATGTGCAAGTGCATGCAGCCATGAGTGTGCAGCGGGCGGGTTCCATTCACACCTGCATCCTTTCAGGCGCTCTGCCAGGAGCCCCACGCCTCCTCCTGGCCCGTCTCTGCCCATTCTCACACCCACATCCGATCTGTCCTGAAACCCCCTGGGTTCCACCTTCAGAACACCTGGGACCCACAGCTGCACACCTTGCGGCCCCCAACTGGCTGAGCTCCATTGCCCGCCCGGCCCGGGGCTGCCCTCGCCTGCTGCAGCCCATTTCCCACGGGACAGCCAGTGAGTGGGGTCTTGCCAGACTCTGGCTAGGTCCCCTCTGCATGCACGCACCCTCCCAGGGCTCCCCCTTCCTGCACTGGCTGCTCCCTCTGCCCAAAACGCTGGGCCCCAGACTCCTGCAGGCCTGACCGCTGCACGTCCACCTCCATTGGGGCTGGGCTCAAATTTTCCCACTCGTGAGGCCGCTCTGAGTGCCCTGTTGAATCCCACAACCTGAGCCCACCTCTGGGCACCCGTGAGCCTTCTGACATACTTACGATATGTTTGTGTGTCTGTCGTTGTGTACCAGGCCCCTGAGGTCACAGGCTTGGGAGAATTCACTGTGTATCTCCTGTGCTTGGCCACAACTGCTGGAGAAGTCGGTTGGTCATTCAGGTTTACTCTTTTATTAACATAGAGTTTTCCCATTTTCCTGCTGCCTGGTTTTCTGGGTTATAGATTTGGAGCAGCTCTTTATATAAGATGGTTACTAATCCTTTGTTGAACACTTTACAAAATAACTTCTTCCCAGTCTGTGTCTTGTCTTTTAACTTTGCTTATGGGGTCTTTTGTTTGTTTGTTTGTTCATTCCCTTAATATTTGTTGAATGAGGGGTTAAACGATGGAGACAGATGAGTCCGTGTGCCACTGCCTTAGACCGCCCCGCACGCTCTCGCCCCCACACAGCCCCCGCAGACACAGACGCCTCGAGTACAGTTACACCTCAGCACATACACAGGCGTGCACGTTCGTCTGTGTTTCAGATGTAAACAGGCGTGTGTACGTGTGTATGCGTGTGTAAGAGCGGTGTAAGAGTGTGTTTTCACAATAGGCTTCTGCCCACTCTTGGTTGTGACCAGAATCTTTAAAAAGTGAAACGAGCAAATGCGGTGTGCTGAACTATGCGGGGTAAGAACAAGTTCACGACGTGTGCTGCGCGGACCTAGTCACGCGGTTAAGTTGCGGTCAACAGAGTTTGAAAGCCCAAATGTTAAAATGGTTGAAATGCTCTAGGTTCTCACAGAGGAGTCAAATAAGGCTGGGTTCTGGGCGTGAAAAAGGGCAGACCAAGCCTCTCCTCACCCCTGACCACCCCACCCAGTAGCAGGGGAATGGCCCAAGTCTCCTCTTCATGACCTGGGGCCATTTGAAATGTTTTTTCTTTGTAATTCGCCCTTTTAAAGTATACAGTTCAGGCTGGTGAGGTGGCTCATACCTGTAATCCCAGCACTCTGGGAGGCCGAGGCAGGGGGATCAGTAGAGGTCAGGAGTGGGAGGCTGCAGTGAGCTATGATGATGCCACTGCACTCCAGCCTGGGCGACAAAGCGAGACTCTGTCTCAAACAAATAATAATAATGCTAAAAAAATAAAGAGCACAGTTCAATGGCTTTTAGTATATACACAGGGTTGTGCAACTATCTCCCCATCAGCAGTAATGCCTCTGCCTCTCCCCAGCCCCTGGCAACCACAAATCCACATCCTGTCCCGTCTCTGTGGCTCTGCCTGTTCTGGACATTCCATATAAATGGAGTCACACACTGTGTGTCCTTCTGTGTCTGGCGTCTCTCGCTGAGCACGATGTCCTCAGGGTTCACCACGCTGTGGCCTGTGTCAGAGCCTCCTTCCTTTTCACGGCTGGGTAGTGTTCCGCTATACGACTGGCCATGCTTTGGTTCTCCATCCTTCCACCAGCGCATAGGTCTTTTGGACTGGGCGCTGTGGCTGAGAGGGTTGAGCTCTGGTGCTGTCTGTCTCTCCTGCCCCTTTAGTGCCCAAAGCCCAGTCGGACAAGTGCGTTCCTGACCGAGATCCTCGCTGGGAGGTACTAGATGTCACCAAGAAAGCGGTGGCCAGTCCCCGGATCATCTCCCTGGCCCAGCCCAAAGTGCGCAAGGAGCTCAACGAGGGCTACGACCCCTACCGCATCTCCCCGGCCTCCCTGGTGGCCCAGGCATCTCCACGCCTGTATGAGCTTGCCACCCCCAAGAGCATCACCAAAAAAGTATGAGCAGCCTCTGAGCACCCAGTAAACACCCTAGTGCATCCTAACCCTGTGTATGTGTTGCTCGGAGCTTTTGGCCTGGAGGAGGGTGGGCAGGCTGGGAGGCCAAAAGAATGGTGAGGAGGACAATAATAATATTTACTTTCACATTCAACCTGCGATTTGTACCGCCCTTTTGTTTCCCAAATCACTTTTATCGACCATCTTGGTCTCCTCTGAAGTTAGACTTCAGCCCCCCCAACTTCAGAATCTTCCCTCTGGACCCCTCACATCCAGCCTTGCTTATCTGGCCTCCTGGGTGTCCGCACACCCCCAAGTCACAATGGTACCCGCAATAAAACCAGTGAGCCACCCTGCATGACTCACCGATCTCTACAGTGACTCGGTGATGGAGGACTCTTCCCGTTTCACAGAAGTAGAGACAGGCTCAGGAGGTCAGGAAAAGGCCCACAGTCCCTGCTGTGGTCTGGACACTCCTGTCCCTCCATAATTCATATATTGAAATCTTCACCCCCACGGGGATGGTCTTAGGAGGTGGAGCCTTGGGGAGGTCCTGGGGGCAGAGCCCTCATACCTGGGATTGACATCCCTGTGAGAGGCCCCAGACGTGCCCCTGGCCCCCTTGTACCGTGTGAGGACACGGAAGTGGGCAGTGTGTGACCAGGAGGAGGCCTCGTCCTGATCTTGGACTTCCAGCTGCTAGAACTGCGAGAAATAACCATCTGTTATTTATGGGCCACCCAGTCTATGGTACTTTGTTACAGCAGATGACCACAAACGGTGACTTAAAACAATACACATTTATTCTGTCACAGTTCTGGGGTCAGAGTCCAAAGTGGGTCTCACTGGGCTAAAATCAAGGTGTGGCAGGGCCGGTCCCTCCTGGGGGCTCCAGGGGAGAACCATCTCCTGCCTTTCCCAGTGTCTAGTGGCCGCCGCGTCCCTCGGCTCGGGGCCCTTCCTCCCCCTTCAGAGCCAGCAGCGCAGCGTCTTTCAGTCTCTCTGCCTCCGATCCCCCTGGCCCCTCGTGGGAGGACCCTGTGCTGACACTGGGCCCCGGGTCATCCAGGATGACCTCCCATCTTAAGGTCCTCAACTTAATCACGAGGGAAAAGTCCCTTTTTCCGTGCGAGGTGGCCTGTCCACAGGTCCTGGGGACTAGGTTGGGGATGTCCTTGGGGCGTTATTCTGTCAACCACAGACCCACGGACAATCTGACAGATGGCCTGTCACTGTCAATTACTCTGTGGCCTGGAGGTGGAGTGACAGGGCTGAATTTGAGAGACCTTTAGGAAGTGCCGTGTCAAACTGGTGCAACAAACGATCAGGTGTGGGATGTGCAGGAAGGAGAAGGGGAGAACACTGTTTCTCAGGGATGGCATTGCCACTCATGGATAGGGACCCCTTTCTTGTGATCACGGGGGAGGGTGATGAATGGTTTTTGAAACTGTTGGGTTTGGAGATACTTTGACATTTCTAAGAGAAAATATACACCGATGTCTGCACCTGTACCTGTGCCTGAACCTACACCTGCATCTACACCTGAACCTACACCTGTGCCCACACCTGTGCCTGTACCTATACCTGTGCCTACATCTGCATCCATACTTCTGCTTGTACTTGCCCCTACACCTGCACCTGTGCCTACACCTGTGCCTACACTTACATCTACACCTGCACCTACACCTTCACCTGTGCCTACACCTATACCTGCACCTACACCTGTGCCTACACCTGCACTCACACTTTCACCTGTGCCTACACCTATGCCTACACCTGTACCTACACTTACGCCTACACCTGCGCCTATACCCACGCTTACACCTGTAACTGTACCTACACCTACACCTGCACCTACACCAGTTGGGAGCACTATTCTGAGATTCAGAGAGGAGACCTGGGCTGAGACATACTCTGTGAGTTATTCTGAAGATGTGCCAGTGTAAATACAGGTGCAGGCATAGGTGTAGGTGTAGCTGTAGATGCAGGCACAGGCGTAGGTGTAGGCACAGGTGTAGATGCAGGTACAGGTGTAGGTGCAGGCATAGGTGTAGGTGCAGATGTGGAAGCAGGTGTATGTGTAGGCCCAGGTGCAGATGCAGGTGTAGGCGCAGGCACAGGTCAGTGCAGGTGTGAGCAAAGGAAGGAATGCATGAACTCACTTGGGGAGAACAGAGAGCAGGGAGAGAAGGGCCTGGTTCCAACACCTCGTGGGCAGGTGGAAGACGATGACCAGCCAGGGAGCCTGGCAGCAGCGTGCAGGGCTGTAGGACGGTCGGGGAGGAGGCACGGCCATCGGTGTGAGGTACTTGGAGCTGGAGAGGAGCGAGGGCTGGGATGCCCCCGGCTGTGGCCTGCAGGGGTCACTGGGCACCTGAGGGACGGGCTTTGTGGCGCAGGTTGGCGTGGCCTGGGGAGATAAAGACAGGCCAGGGTGTAGACAGTTGTTTCAAGAAGCGAGTCAAGGAGAGTGACCAGGTGGTGTCTGCAAGGGAATGTGCAGCAGGGAGAGCTTCATTCTTACTGAGTGGAGGGGACCAGAGCATGTTTAAAAGCAAGGGGTGACACCGGGTAAGGGGCCGGGGGATGGGGAGAGAAAGGTTGCTGAGAAGGCGTGAGGGGTGGGTGTACAGCATGGTGGGGACAGACTGCACCTCTTCTTTGTGGGGAGAGGGCAAAAGGGCGGTGCTGCGGTTTGAATGCTGGTGGCCCCTCCAGAACTCATGTCGAAAGTTAAGCCCCGATGTGGCAGTGTCGAGAGGCTCTGTTCTCACGAATGGGTTAATCCATTCATGGATTAATGGGTTATCATGGGAGTGGGATGATGGCTGTATAGGAAAGAGGGAGAGGGACCTGAGCTGGCACTTCAGCACACTCGGCCCCCTCGCCATGTGCCACTGCCCTGTGCTGCCCTGGGACTCTGCAGAGAGTCCCCAGCAGCAAGAAGGCCTCACCAGATGCGGTCCCTCAAGCGTGGACTTCCCAGCCTCCCGAACTGTGAGCAATAAACTCCTTTTCTTTGTAAATTACTCCGTTTGGGATATTCTGTTATAAGCAACAGAAACGGACCAATATGAGCTGCAGTTATAGATAAACTATGTGTTTTGGATTTCTAACAGACATTTCAAATTTAGCATGTCTAAAACAGAATTCTTGATTCTTTTCCCCAATAGACACACAAACCTTTTCTCTCTCAACTTTGCCCATCTCAGTAAATGTCACTACCGTTTTTATTGAGATATAATTCACAGACCATAAAATTCATCCTTTTATGGTGTACCATTTAGTAGTTTTTAGTACTGTACATTCACAGAGTTTTCCAGCCATCACCTTTATCTAGTTCCAGAACATTTTTGTCTCCCCAGAAAGAAACTCTGTCCCCATGAGCAGTCACTCCCCTTCCCCTCCACTCCAGGCCCCTGGCACCCACGAATCCATCTCCCGTCTCTAGGGATCTGCCTGTTCTGGACATTTCATACACATGGAGTCTCACACTGTGTGTCCTTCTGTGTCTGGCGTCTCTCACTGAGCACGATGTCCTCAAGGTCCATCCACGCTGTAGCCTGTGTCAGAGCCCTTTTCGTGGCTGAGTGATGTTCCATTTTATGGAAGGACCATATTTTAATTATTCGCTCATCAGTTGATGGACATTTGAATTGCATACTATTTTCCTAGGGCTGTTCACACAAAAACTTGCATGTAAATTTTCATAGCAAGCTGGGACTTTGCTCCCTTTGCTGCCACTCAATTGCGTCCCCTCCGCTGGCTCTCTCAGACAGGCCTTGGCCAGTGCCCCCAGATGCCGCTCCTGTTCTGGATCTCAGCCTGCCCAAGGTCCGCCCAGGCTGCATGAGTTGCCTACAGCTGTCATAACAAATCACCACAAACTTCATGGCCTAAAACAACTTAAATTTATTGTCTTCTGGTTCTGAAAACCAGAAGTCCTAACTAAGTCTCGCTGGGCTACAGCTGACATGTGGGCAGGCCTGGCTCCTTCCGGAGACTCCAGGGGAAGACTTTGTGCCGGTGCCTTTTCCAGCTTCTAGAGGCTGCCCACGTGCCTCTGTCTGTGGTCCCTTCCACCTGCCATCATACTGCTCCATCCCCTGCTTTCACTGTTATGTCTCCTCCCCTGATTCTGACCCTCCTCTCTCCTCTGATGAGGACCCTGTGATATGTTGGGCCACCCGGATAATCCAGGATGATCTCCCATCTCAAGGTCCTTAACCTAAAATCCCACCCTATGACAAAAATTCCTTTTGCCCTGTAAGGTAAAATAGTGTATTCAGGTCCCAGGGATTAGAATATGGATGTCTTTGACGGCTGTTATTCAGCCAACCACAGTGGGAAAGAGCTTCTTCACTCTCTCTGAGACCCTAGACAAAGTCTCACACATCATCGGCTCTGGCTGGGTCCCTCCAGAACCAGCCGCTGGGTCATGATGGTGCTGTGTACTCACTGGCTTGGGCCAACCCATCAGCAAGTATTTTTTTCAGGGCCTACCGAGTGTCAGATCCTGAGCCATGAGTCCTGAGAATCCAAAGTTATTACCAGATTGTAAGTTCTCTGAGGATGTTTAGTCGCTCAATAATGTAAAAAACAGCATATGGCGCCTCAAAGTTGAAAGGGCTGTGCTACCTGGGTAAACTCTGCCCTGGGTAAACTCAGCTTCACTGACCCATGCCATGCCACCCTCTCTACCCAGTGCCTGGAAAGTGGGGAGCCGCACACAGGATATGGTCCTGACAAACTGCATGGCCTTGGGCAGGTCATTTTGTTTTGGTATTTTTTGTATTTAGTTATCCCCTCCCAGATTTTTTTTCTAAGAATATCATTTTGCTTTGCTGAACGAAGTTACCTGGTGCTAATGGAAGGGTGTGTGCCTGAGTAACAACACCATTTCTAAGCAAGGCTCTTCCCTCTTAGGGTTTAGAACTTCAGGGGAGAATCTCACCTGTTCTGCAGCTGGCATTCTGTGGAGTGCCCACGCACTACAAGACAAAGCCCACCATGGCACTGGAGGATACAAGCACCTACCTACCACACAGGAGCCCGAGAGGAAGAGGGGAAGATGTGGAAGTTAGACTCATTAATTTGGGAGCAGATTATGAATATGGAGTTTCAAACATTCACCTGAGTGCGTACGACACAGGCCGGCAGAGAGTGTGTTCACCACTTCTGTGACCACCTCTCATTAAAGTCGAGGGGGGGCAATGCCGGGATGAGGCAGCAAAACATTCCTGAGCTCAGTCCTTCCCATGAGCGAGTGTTCACATCAGCGGGTTGGGTGCTGTGTTTGCACTCGACCCGCTAGAAATGATCAAAGCAAACTTCCTGAAGGAGCACACTGAGGAAGACGTCAAGGGAGAGTCCCAAGCTTGGCCAGAGCTGGAAGAACTGTCGGCCAAGCTGACCAGCTGTTGCAGACCCTTCCACGCCAGCACTGGGATATTGGGTGACAAGAAGAGCTTCCTGGGTGGTCAGAGGTAAGCAGGAGACCCTGGCCCTTAAAGCTCTGTTAATGATGAAAAATAATTTAAAGAACATTCATGGAGTACTTATAGGTCCAGACCTGGACAGGCATTCAGAAGTGAAAGGTTAAAAAAAACCATCCTGATCATCTTGAATGATAAGATGATAAAGTACAAGAATAAAGTGAGTTTCAAGGAGATTGGGCATCTAGCTCAGAGCATATGGTGATTGCTGAGTAATGTTTCTTGAAGGTGGGGAGGGAAACGACCACAGTGCACCTGTCGAATGAGTGGATAAAATCACTGCCTTTTTAAAAGTGTGGTGAATCCCGGCCTTCCCCTCCCCTGCTCTAAGTGTCCTGAACACAGGCCTTAGAACTGTCTTGTTCAAACCCTCCCCATCACCTAGCACAGAATCAGTATGTGCGGTGTTCCACAAATACTTAATCAATTAATTTAATAAAACCAAAAACAATGGACTCCTGAGCCGAATGGCTGTGGATTCAAATCCCACCTCTCTTGCCGCCGTCAATACTTTGGCTCCCTAATATAGGGTACCCACGTTTCTCAAAGCTCTTTTCTGGGTTCATTCTCGCAAGCTCCCCAACTCACTCCTTGGCATACTAGTTTGGTCATCGCTGATGCAAAAGTGCAGGAAATCCCAGAACCACGCTGCCCACACTCCAGTTCCGGCTCCATCACCGAGGCATTGGGTGAGCGGCCTCAGTTTCCCCCTCTGAAACTCGGGTGCTAACAGAGTGTAGACACAGGCGTGAAAGGATCACGTGGGACCACGTGTTCCCCACGCAGGTGTGGTTATAAGAGCTCAGTATTTTTATTAACAACATCCTCCACCTTCCACGGCCAAGGCCATGGCCAAGGCCCAGCAGCGACCCCGGCACACAGACACATCCCGTCCACGCGCCCGCGCACCTACTACGCGCCGGGGCCCGCTCCCGCCCCCTCCAGGCCCGCCCCGGCCACGCCCCCAGGCGCCTCAGCCAATGGGCGCGCGGCGCCGCATCCGGGGATCCCGGCGCGGCCGCCGCCTCCCGCGCACACACGGCCATGGCGGAGGTGAGTGAGCGGGCCGGGGGAGCCTGCCCCCCGCCCCCGCGTGCCCGCGCCCCCCGCCGCCGGGGCTCGGCTTCTTCGGGGGCCCCGGGGGCGGAGACCCCCGCTTCGGAGCTCCGAGGCCGGGCCTGGGGCGCCTGACGCGTCCGGGGCCCGAGGGGCGCGGGGCTTCGTCGGCGGCCGCCCCCGGCCCGGCCCCCCCCCGCCCGCTGCCACATCGCGGGTCCAGTGCGCACGCGCGGCGGCGCGGAGCGGGCGGGGGAGCCGGAGGGGCGGACGGGAGGGAGGGGTCGGGGCGGGGGTCTTAAGCCGGGGGCTGCGGGTGGTCGCGCGGCGCGTCCCGGCTCTGGCCCCACAGCCTCCCCCCGCCTTTGCTAACTTTGCCGAGTGCCGTGGCCGCGCCCCGCGCTCCCCGTCAGGACCCGGCTGGACCCGCGGCGCCTTGGCCCGCCCTCGAGGCCCCCGGGGGTCAGGTCAGACCCTGGACAGGATTTGAACTCCACACTTGGGACCCGTCTCGGATAAACCAGACACGGCGGATGGGTGGGTCCTCTGGGGCCTAGAGAGCGTTGGTGCTGATGTCAGGACAGAGTTAGACCAGCCTGTGCCGAGTATGAAGTTACTTCTCGGAGCCTCCTCTGTCCATAAAGCAAGCCCGAGACCGTTTTCCCGAAATCCTTGGGGCTGTCTGTGCTTTGGAATCCAGAATTTTTCCTATCTGAGGATCTGTGGGGTTTTGGACCCTGATGTTTGATCAAACTCACCTAGGACTGTCCAGGATCAAGAAAGACAGCTAATAGCTTCAAGTCAGGTCAAACCAGGAGCGAAAAAAACTTTCACTTTTGGAGCTTTTTTTGATTTGTGAATGGTGATTGCTGTCACCTCATAGGGTCCTGGTGAAGATGAGACGAGAGAAATGTAGGTGCAGGTGCAGCATGGGACAGGCACTCGATGAGTGTGACTCTCAGTGCATGGCTGCCGTGTGCACGCAGAAGTTGACAGGTCCACAGACTCAGGAGCTGGTCCTTATCTCATGAGTGCGGTGGCTGGGGCCCAGAGAGGATGAGGTGCCCACCCAGCAAGGCCCAGCTGCTTGGTGGGAAGATGGGACTGGAAATCCGGCCTGGTCATGGGGCCACGTTGAGTGTTTGTGTCTTGGCACAACATGGGTAGGCGTTGTGGAAGGCGGGACTGGCCATTCTCTCCCACCAGTGACCTTCTTGGGGCATCAACAGGCTGCGTTTGTGCCAAAGAGGGTGTAGGTGACTTGGTGCCAGGCCAGGCCTCACCAGCCAGTTCCTGCCTTGTGCTAGGTGGCTGGATCCAGAGGGTTCTTAGAGAGTTAGCTCTCCTTCCTTGGGGTGGGGGATGGGGGGCGCATTTAGGGAAACTGAGTTCTCATGAGGATGGTGGCTGGCCTCCAGCATCGGAGGCAGAAGCCAGGTTTCCCAATGGCCCTGCAGGGGCATGGCGGTTGAGTGGATGTGTGTGTCTGGTGTGCTCCCGACTCAGGCACGGCTCCTGGGAGCGAGGTGGCATTTGGGCAGCCACATGGGCTGGCAGGGAGCTGTGTGTCCTGGATGCATGGGTTGCCCCCCAGCCAGCCTCCTCTGAAAGCTGCCTTGCCCTGTGCTGAACTCCCAAGTGGTCACGCAGCTGGTTGTCTGGGTGCTCCTGTTACCCTGTTGTGTAGCCGGGGTGGTGCTGTGGAGTGAGTTTGATTTTCTAAAGAGGTTCCCCTCCGTGCTAGGCCCTGAGAGTCTGGCCAAAGGCCAGAACAGATAGGGCCTGTCCCAAAGGGATTTAGAGTCTGGTCAGAGAGCGAGCCACGGGGACCAGTAAGGACCAAGTGTATGCATGCTGAGCCACGGCCAGCCTCTGCCCAAGAGGCCTCTTCTGGCTCTGGAGCCTCCTGTTTGTGTGACCTCAGGCAGGTTGCTGAACGACTCAGAACCTCAGTTTCCCCATCTCTAAAATGGGAAGTTAATGGTCTACCTTCAGAACTGGGCGGTCTCCTGAGATGTTCCTACAGTGGCTTCCACGTAGAAGTTGAACCTTATGAAGTTGCTGATATTTAGCTGTATTTAACCCATAAAAATGGTCTTTTGTAACCTAATAGCACTAGATGAGTATTAGTTGCTTTATTATCATATTGTCATTTCAAAGTGATCATCAGCATCACTGTGGAAGACAGGGGAGTGCATCACACTGTTTCAGGGATATAGAATAATCTTTTAAAAACCTGAGTACACCACCTTTTGCTCTGTTTAAAACCCTCCATGGCTTTTCATTGTCCTCAGAATAAAATGCAGTTCCTCCCCACAACCCCAGCCCTGTGGTGTGGTCCCCCTGGGCTCCTTCCACTTTCTGGTGCACTCTACCCCTTGGGTGCCACCTGCCACCTGTTCTACCTCCCCTCAGGCCTCTCAGTGGTTTTCCCTGACCCCCAGTTGTATAGCCCCTCACCCTGTTTTCTCCTCTCAGTACCATACACATCCACTTGTTATCTGTGTCCGAAACCAAACTGGTAACTCCATGTGGGTGGAGACAGGCGGAACCTGTTCCTCGGGTTAACTAGCATGCTGCTGCCTCGGCTGGCCCGGAGTAGGCGCCCACTTCGTGCACGTTGGTCAAGTGGAGGCCACTTGGGAGGCTGAGGTGGGAGGATTGTCTGAGCCCAGGAGTTAGAGGCTGTAGTGAGCTGTGTTCGTGCCGGTGCACTCCAGCCTGGGCGATAGAGTGAGGCCCTGTCTCTTATTAATAAAAACAACAAAACCTCAGTTTCTTAAAACAATAACAATTGTTTTATTATTATCTTTAATAGTATGAGGGTTGACTGCTCAGCGAGACAGTTCTCTCTCAGGATCCCTCACATGGTTGTGGTCAGTGGGCGACTAGGGCTGGAGTTGCTGGGGCTGGAGTTGCAGCAGAGGCTTCCTCACTCGCAGCTGGCTGTCAATGGCTGTCAGCTGGGACACCTGCATGTGGCCTCTCCATGTGCCTTGGGCTTCCTCACAGCATGGCAACCGGGTCCAAGAGTGTCCCAAAAGATACCAGATGGAAACTGGATCGTATTTTACGGCCTAGCCTTGGAAGTCAGATAGCATCCTTTCCACCACAGTCACAGGCCTGGCCAGATTCGTGGGGAGAGGAGGAGAACCCCATCTCTCAGGGCAGGCGCCTCAACATTCGCATGCTGGAGGGAGAGATTGTGGGATGGGAGATGTGGGTGTAGCCACTGTGTCATTTTGGCTTCTGCTTTGAAGGGTGGTGAGCGGGAAATAGCGGCTGCCGGGGGAGAAGGGCCACCCACAGTCTTTATGCCGACCACCTTGCTGCCGCCTCCACTCCCAGAAGACCCTGATGGGACACTTGGGTCTGTGGCCCTCTCCTTTGGGACCGTGTCTCTAGAGCGCTGCTGTCCTTCCTTCTCTTCCTTTTGGAATACCTGCCTGGAATACCTTTGGCCAGCTCCCCATCTTTTTCCTCTTTCCACTTGGCTTTGCTGGCCCTCAGCTCTGGTGGCGACAACCCGAGTTCCTGAGTGAACAAAAGAATCCACTTTGAGTAGGCTTGCCCCTGGACGTCAGACACTGGGGCAGGGCAGGGAAGGAAGTTCCTGGACTGTATTCCTTGGTAAGTTTGAGGAACGTGGAGTCACCTGGAAGTGCACTTGGAAATCCGAGGCTGCCGGGGGTCCCCACGTTGGCAGCTCTTCTGCCATTCCCAGCTGCTTCTCTCTTTGCCCCTCTCTGCCTGAGCTCCCCATTAAATGGCAAGTCAGATGAGGGCCACGTCCTCCTCGGACCCGGCACCCTGCCTCACCTGAGGCCAGGTGCCATCCTCCGCTACTCTGTGTGGGCCTTGGGCTTGTGGGGGCTGTTGTCAACTCGCCACCCAGACTAGGGCCTCATCTGGTGTCGTCGTCAGCCCACTTGGTCGTCAGGGCTCTTGATGGTGAGAACAGAAAGCCAGCCCCCTGGCTGAGATGTGAAAGGCCGCCCAGAGCCTCCCCTTCCCCCACCCAGAGGGTCCCAGTGAGGGCCAGCGGTGATCTCAGGTCACTGAGGGTGCTCTTGCCAGGACTTCGCGCAGCATGTGGCTGTGGGCTGGGGCTGGTGGCAGCCTGCCGTTTTCTGGAAAAAGCAGCCGCCAGGGCTGCGCCTCACTGCCACCCTACCCCACAGGGCCTGGACTAGCCCCAGGACAGGGACTAGGTGCCACAGGCGCCAGCTCAGCTTCCCTTGGCCACTCCCAGTCCCTATGGCCCCTCCCTTCCCCACTGCGGGCTGCTGGCCCCTCTTCCCTTCTCTCCTCTACTGGCTGCCCTCCGCCAACAGGGCTCCACCTCTGAGAGCTGGTGGGACCTGTCGCTCCCACTTGGAGCCCCTGATGTGCCCGCGCCTCCTCCCCGGGATCTGTCTCTGCACCCTGGTCCCTGTAGCCTCTTTGCCTTGGCGCTCCAGTGCCAGAACTTGCTGTGCCTCCCTGCTCTCGCCCATGGCTTTGCTGTACGTTTACATATAGCTGACCCTTGAACAACACGGGTTTGAGCGGCACGGGTGCACTCACACGCGGATTTTCTTCCGCCTCAGCCACCCCTGAGACATCAAGACCAACCCCTCCTCCCTCCTCCTCCTCCTCCAACACGAAGACGACGAGGATGAAGACCCTTATGATGATCCACTTCCACTTACTGAAGAGTAAATATATTTTCTCTTCTTTATGATGTTCTTTATAACGTTTTTTCTCCCACTTTCTTCATTGTAAGAATGCAGTATATAATACATATAACTCACCAAATATGCATTCATCGACTGTTTATATTATCGGTATGGCCTCTGGTCAACAGGAGGCTTTTAGTAGTTAAGTTTTTGAGGAGTCAAAAGATATACATGGATTTTCAGCTGCACAGAGGGTCATCACCCCTAAGCCCGCGTTGTTCAAGGGTCGATTCCTGAGGGCTGGAGAGGGTTTCTGAGTCGGCACGGCCTGAGCTGGAGTTTGTAGTTGTACCACTTGTGTGAGCCTGGAAGTGACTCTTTGAGTTTCAGTCTCCTTGCTTCTCTTACGAGAATGATTAGACCGCCCCTGAGGTTTTTCTTGAGGACTCAGGAAAGCAGTGTTGAAACTCTTACTAAACAAGTTTTTAAACTTTATTAAATATTTTAATCTACTCTTTGGCAACAGCTTTACTGAGATATAATCCATCTACCATGCAATTTGCCCATTTTAATGTGCACAATTCATTGGTTTTTAGTCTATTCACGGAGCTGTGAAGGTACCACCACAGCCAATTTTGGAATGTTTTCATCACCCCGAAAGGAGCCCTGCCCTCCCTGGTGATGACTCCTCAAACACCACGTCGTCCCCGCCGCCCCTAGCAACCATGAGTCCACTTTCTGTCTCTGTGGATCTGCCTGTTCTAGACATTTCACATAAAATGACTCATACAACGTGTGTCCTTCTGTGTCTGGCCTCTCTTACTGAGCACGATGTCCTCAAGGTCCATCCACATTATAGCCTGTGTCAGAGCCTCCTTCCTTTGCATGGCTGAGTGATGGTCCAGTGTTTTGTTTTTGTGTATCTGTTCATTAACTGATGGACATTAGTGTTCCTTCTACTTTTTGGTTGTGAATAATCCTGTGAGCATTCATGTGTAAGTTTTAGTGTAGATCTATGTTTTCTTTTCTCTTGGATACGCACCTAAGAGCTTATACCTCGGTCATACGATAACACTACGTTTAACTTTTGGAGGAACTGCTGGACTGTTTTCCAAAGAGTTTGCACCATTTTACATTCCACCAGCAGTGTATGAGGGTTCCAATTCATCCATCTTCTTGCCAACGCCTGTTATTATCTGTCTTTTTAATCATAGTCATTCTCTGATTATGAAGTGGTACCTTTTTATGGGTTTTATTTGCTTTTCCCTGATACGATATTAAGAATCTTTTCATGTGCTTATTGGCCATTTGTATGTCTTCTTTGGAGAAATGTCTATTCAGATCCTTTGCCCATTTTTAAATTGGATTGCCTTTTTATTGAGTTGTAAAAGTTCTTTATATATCCTAGGTATAAATCCCTTACCAGATATGTGATTTGCCTATATTTTCTCCCATTCTGTGTGTTGTCTTTTCACTTTCTTGATTGCGTCCTTTGAAGCACAAAAGTTTTTGATTTTGATGAAGTACAGTTTATCTGTTTTTGTTTTATTTTGTCACTCGTGCTTTTAGTGTCTTATCTAAGAAACCATCGACAAATCCAAGGTCACAAATATTTATCCCTATGTTTTTCTCTAAGAGTTGTATAGTTTTAACTCTTATATTTAAGGTCTTTGATCCACTTTGAGTTAATTTTAATATGTAGTATGAGATAGGAGTCCACCTTCATTCTTCTGCACAGGGCTATCCAGCTGTGTCAGCACTGTTTGTTAAATAGACTGTTCATTCCCCATTTAATTATTTTGACACTTTCATCCAAATTCAATTGATTGTGAATGTGTGAATTTATTTCTGGAGTCTCAGTTCTATTCCATTGGTCTACATGCCTATCTGTGGTGGCAGCACACTGTTTTGATTACTGGAGCTTTGTAGTAAGTGTTTTTTATTGTTGTTGTTGAGACAGGGTCTCTCTCTGTCGCCCTGGGTAGAGTGCAGTGGTATCATCACAGCTCACTGCAGCCTCCAACTCCTGGGCTCAAACGATCCTCCTGCCTAAGCCTCCTGAGTAGCTTGGACTACAGGTGCCACCACCCCTGGCTAATTTTTCCTATTTTTAGTAGAGATGGGGTCTGACTCTTGCTCAGGCTGGCCTCGAACTCCTGAGCTCAAGCGATCCTCCCACCTCGCCCTCCCAAAGTGGTGGGATTACATGCGTGAGCCACTGCGCC